CCCGGCCTCCCGGGGTGGGGGCGGGGAAGGCACGGGGGCCCGCGGCGCCTGGGGACCTTGGGTTCCGCGGGGGCTGCGGCGGGCGGCAGCCGGGGGCGTGGGAATATTCCCACTCGGCGGGCGCCATCTTGGGGGAGTGGATGGGGTGGGCGGGATGGGTTTGTGTTCCTGAGAAAAAGCTGGGCCTCCTTTCCCCGTTCCTCTTGGGAACCGCTTGTTCTTTATGATTTCCCTAGGATCGGCGCTGGCTCTTGGTCACGTTCTTGGCCTAAGCTCCTAGCACAGGGTGTGGTGTCTAGTGCGTATTGGGTGAGTGAGTGAGTGAATGAATGAATGAACGAACGAACGATGGGTGGGAACCAACCTTACTTTCCCAGCCTCTGGCCCCTCCCTTATCTCTCTGGTACCTTCTCAAGCTGGAGATCAACTCTGGAAAGACAGGGGATGGGGGGGGCAGCAGTTGCCTTCCTCTTGAACACCATGATTCAGAGGTGCTCAAGCTCCAAACCTGAAACTTAAAACCTCCAAGTATCTAAGCACCACCTTTACTGGCCCAGTAACTTCGGGTTTTTTGTCTTTCTTTTAGAAAAGCCCAGGATATTTTCCCTCTATACAGCTTTCCCCCCAAATTACATATTTATCGTAGAAAATAAAGAGGTTTGTAATTTTTTTTATAGGGCAGATAATTTATTGAGCAACCAAGTGCCAGGGTCTGTGCTAGACTCTGGAGAGCCAGCCGTCAACAAGACGGGCACCGCTTAAGGGAGACACACTTGTTTATGTACATGATTCTTATCCATACTTGTTGCACAAAAAAAACAACCGTTTTAAAGTTTTTGTTAATTCCTTTAAAATTAACAATAGTAAACCCATTATGTATAAAGGTAAAAATTTAAATTTAAACCAGATTTGAGGGTGGGGGAAACCTTACCAGAAGAAAGTTCTGCAATTCCACTGACCTTTGCTTCTAAGTATAGCAGTTGCCTATGGGCTCTAGAAAATCTTAACTCCCCAAATACCAGCTGTGAGAATATGGTTTCAACCCTAACAGTGGTTTTTAAATAGTAGCTTGGGTTTGGGTTTCTTTTTTTAATTCCATTTCTTTTTCGTGAAGTTTTTGTTCTGTTGCGGGCTATCAGAGAACTGAACTTGCATGCATTTTTATAATATAGATAACATGAGTTTTATTAGGCTCGCTTATTTAAGCATTGCTAAGTATTTCTTCCTGGGTCCCAAAATAGTGTACAGCTGTTTTCTGCAGTGTGTTCCTGGGCTCCCATTTCATTCCTGGGTGAGTTCACAGCATAGGTGATAATATGCTACACAGCCCTACTACTGCACATGACCCGTTGAATGCCTGCTGTATCCACCGTCCCCTCTGAACAGGTCACCAAAAAGGTTCCTTATGCTTGGGTCCCATGTGACCTAGCCACCGTGGCCCACAGGCTGCCCAGAGTCCTGTGAGGTGACCTGATAGGGTAGCTCTGCATTCTAGACTGAATTGGGCTATATGGGCCAATAAACCACCTTTCCCAGGGACAGGAATGAGTATGGAGTGGGCAGGGACCTGGTCAGAGTGGCACAGAGGCAGGGAGGCCCACGTAGGGAAGGTAATAAGCAGAGCAGGTCCCTGCTGTGGGGAAGTTCCCCAAGGGTGAGAGGAGAAGCTGAGGCAGTGTCAGGGGTCACTGAGTCACCACAATAGTGGAGCTGTAGAGTTGGGAGCTAAGCACACTTATACCTACAGTGGCACTCTGTTTGGCCACGAGACCTGACAGTTGTTTTAACAGTGCTGTTGTCTGTGAGGCCTGGTTCCTGTGTGTTCTTATTTCCCTAACTTATTTCTAACTCATAGAATAAACTCCCTGGTAACAGGTAATCTGTAAGCATCTCTGTCTTTGTTACCTTTTTCAAGAGTTTTTGCAAGTCACGGAAACACTCAAGGCAACAAGCAAAAAATTATATATTTATTATTGTAATGATCTCCCAGGATGGTGCCTGAAATTCCCGGATGGGAATGTACATGGGTCTCATAAGGCGCTGCAGGACCGAGGAAGCCCAACCAGTTCTCGGGACCCAGACAGCCAGCTTCTCTCTGAATATCTTCATCTTTCTCTCTTGAACCTCTGTTAAGGGCAATATGTGCTATACTGCTGGCCAATAGGCCATGGCCTTCTTGGTAGATAAAAATACATCATCTTGCGGCGCCTGGGTGGTTCAGTCATTGGGTGTCTGTCTTCAGCTCAGGTCATGATCCCTGGGTCCTGGGATCGAGCCCTGCATCAGCGGGAAGCCTGCTTCTCCCTCTCCCACTCCCTCTGCTTGTGTTCCCTTTCTCTCTGTGTCTCTCTCTCTGTCAAATAAATAAAATCTTGAAAAAAAATATACACTAATTTGTAAAAGCAGAGACTCCTTGAGCAGAGAAGTTTCCTATCTGGCTTAGGAACTCTGGAAGATTACTGAACTATACCAAACTAGATTTTTTTTTTGTACCCTTTTCAGGAATTTTCCTGTCCCCATTTCCTGTAATCTCAACACTTAGCAGAAACAAAAGAAACTACTTTTGACAAAAAGATTGATGGATCCCTGACCTAGGATGGTTGAAACCACAGAAATTCTTTGAACCGAAATTTGCTACTTTCAGTAGGTATGCTAGTGTTAAAATGTTTCCTGGCACTTTCAACTTCAATGACAGAGACTTACCCATTGCCCAGTTCGGCTGTATCTAAATATGTGACTTTGTTTTCCTGCTTTGCAGCATATTATTATGGTCCTTTATTCTAAGTCTGGGGTCAGGGCAGACCCTGAGCAAGATTAGGAAGTATACAGAATTTGTTTTTCAGGTACCTACCTTTTCTCCATTTAGGACACTCTCCAAAGAAATGAAGTCTTCCATAGTCACATTTCTGGAATAATAGTCACACCACAATAGGCAGTGTGAAAGAAATTGTGGATATTGGGGCCTAGTTATAAGGTTGGCTCCAATTAGGATCATCTGTTGAGAAAAAAAAAAGAGAGACCACCCCCTCCAAAAAAGAAAACAAAATGAAACCATGGATTTTAATCCCAAATTCCCCAACTCTAGGAGCGGGGGCTGATGCCCTATAAAACCATTTAGGGGATTATTTTATGTCAGATCCCCTAAGTCATCTAGGAATTACTAAGAGTGAGGAAAATGAAAGTTCTTTGAGTTCTAGTTTTATCAATTGCTAAACAGCTTTCTTGGCTTTTGTTATCTGCTACTTCTACGAGTTATTTCTAAAATGCTGTGCTTTAAGACGTAGTTTTTACTTGGAGTGAGGAAATAGTAAAATCTCTGGGAGATTCGTGACTTGAAAATAATTTAGGGGCATCTAAGTTGGCTGGCCCTTGATTTGCGCTCAGGTCATGATCTCGGGGTCCTGGGATCATGCCCTGAGTCAGGTTCCAAGTTCAGCAGGGAGTCTGCTTGAGATTCTCTCTCTCTCTCTCTCTTCCCTCCCCCCACCTTGGGCCCTCCCCCTCCTCCTGCTAGCATGCACACACACGCTCTCTCTTTCTCTAAGATAATTTTTTTAAAAGAAAAGACCTTAAATTTTATTATTAAATTGGGCTCTCATTTATATTCTGTCAGAACAATTGTTTTTAGAATATAAACTTACACAAAGTCATTTTTAAAGCTTTATTTAATATTTATTTGTTTCCCACCACTTATTACAATGTCCAGCCTAACACTAATACAATATTGGCGCCCCGACTTTTGGTAAAACAATTTTACAGAAATGTGAAGTTTAGTGTTAATACGTATTCCTTTTCGGGCCACATCATTAGCAAAAGTTCACAATGACACAAGCAAAACATATACTTTAATTTGCCCCGAGAAAACATGTTCTAAAACCACAAATCTAAATTTGACACATCTATTGACAACAGGTTGTTTGAAATCACAATTATTAAGCTCATAGCATTTAGCAAGTAGGAGCAGAGGATAGAAAATCAGAACCTTCCGTCTGATTTCCAAGGGCAGAGATTAATTAGGTCACACTCTTATAGGACTTAGGCACCCATCGGGTTTAAAGAAGTCAAGCAGAAAGATGATCTGGTACCAACTACACACCCAGATGTTAGGGATCTCATGTGGTATTTCTCCATTTTTTAGAAAGAGGGCACTGCTTACCAGAAAGAAATGGATTTCCTTAAAGGAAGAATTGCAGACACCAGCAGGTTCACAGGTTTTTCAACAGGGGTCCTTCTCTGGGGCCTTCAAAATGACAATAAACGTGGCCGCTTTGTCTGCCTGTGAATAAGGCGAGTTCTTCACAATGTTTGTGAAAGATAACTTTGCTCGATTATCAATGGTAGTCAAAAGTAGAACTACATTAAGTCACTAAGTGTTGACCCGGTAAGGCAAACACCCTGCCCCAGATCCTTACTCAGTACTTCATGCTCGCTGACTCCGAAACATTTTCATTGTAATCGCAGAGCTTTGCCATGGAATAGAGATGAACGGGAAAGAGCAGTCCAAAACTCCGGCAAAGGTTTATTTTTTTAGGACTTCGTTTCTTAAGAAAACTGCAGAAGTTATGTTGTATCTCTCCTTGATCCCCTTTTCGTATGCAAAGTATAATCTCTAGATTTACACCACATAATAAACACGAACACAGTTTTATGCAAATCACAGGAGTATAGGAGAAATTAGAAGCATAGATGTGATGGGAACAAATTCAATTTTACAGTGTCATCTTGTTTATTTCACCTTCTCTCCCATACAACCTCCTGTAGGACCCACTGACATATGGACTTGTCATTCTACACCTAGTGGGGCTTCGTTTTATGTAGAAAGCCCGATAATGTTAACGTTTGTACGTTGACAAAAAATCACGGTCTGTCTTTTACTTTATAAGATCTCTCAGATTTCAGCACAATTCACAAACAACAAAAATCCTGACACCATACACCTACGCACAGCTCAGAGTCAGATACACATGCTGGGAGGAAAAATACCATTTTTAATTGAAAAGCTAGACTCTGTCATCTTCCCTCTTCGCACTGCACCCAGTGAACAAGGTCACACTAATTTCAGACACCTGCGAGCTTCCAGTGCCTGGGACCCTTCCCATCACAGCCAGGTTGTTAAGGGGGGTATCCGCGGGAGGAGGGTCGGGCAGCTCTGCCTTGCAGCAGAGTAATTGAGCTTTAAAATGCTGCTGGAAGGTTTTGCTCAGCCAGTAAAGAGCAAAGGGGTTTACGCAAGAATTGCTGAAAGCCAGAACCCGAGAGAAAATGGTGACAATAAAATGAATGGCGGAGGGGTCCACGTAGGTCTGATAGGTGAAGGAGTGGTAGAGATACAAGAGGTGATTCGGCAACCAGCAGAGAGCAAACAGAGCCACAAGCACCAAGACGGTTTTGGCAATTCTCTTCCGGGATTCGATCTGCGGGGGCGGGGGCGGAGAGGAGAAAAATGACCACAAAAACAATCATTTAGCTGGCAGAGATTTTTTAAAAGCCGTTCTCTAGATTTACACAGAAATTTACAGCTAACAGGCTGGAGTCCCTTTGAGCATGCGTCTGAAAGCACTGCTTGGGAGGTGTGGGAAGGCAGCCGTTCCTATAGAATACAGCTAGTTAATTGGCATGGTAACCCTGGTCTCATTAGCTCTAATGCAGACTCCCAGCCGTGGTTTTGAGAGACTCTAGGATGCCTCCAATTAGCTCAAGGAGTGTTGTGGGATTCTTGAGATTTTAATTTAATTAGAAATAGCGATCTCTCTATGCGGTTAGAATATTCTTCCGGGGTTTATGGAAGTTGCCAAGTCTGGACCCCAAATGGTTTATAATCTGTAGGAATTCGGACCATACAGTCAAAGGAATGAAAACCAATGTGTCATCCTATCTACACCTGTGAAAATATTCCTGCCTGTACCCCTTCGCGCAAGAAACGAACGAGGCTAGGTGAAGACATTGCCTGCGGTCACAGAGCAAAGAGAGCTGTTCACACGAGCATGAAATAGGCCACTTCAGCCTCACAGCAGCCCTGCTGAACTAACTAAAGGGACTGGTCAAGAGGTCAATGGGAGCCTCTCCCCCCCTCCAACCCCCACCCCTGAAAGATAGAACTCCTGTTGTTTTTTTTTTTTTTAACCGAATGGCAACATTCTTTTCTTCTGTTCATATTTATGCAAGGAGAGCACACCTGGCTCTTGCGATGGTGAGTCACCGTGTTCTCCCGCCACTGGCACTTACCTTATCCCTTGAGCCCTCCGTTTGCTCCTCTGTAAGTGGTTTGCTTTGAATAATGCGAGGGCGGCTCCCCAGTTCTAGCATCCTGCGTCTATCATTCTGTTACACTTTCTAAAACAAAAGATGCTTGCCTTCATAGTCTCACCTTGGGTGCTGTTCCTCGCTGGTCCACGGGGTACCCAATTTTGGCTGCTCAAACCAGACTGTCACCCAGTCCCCAGCTGCATTTTACAGATAAGGAAATAGGCTCAGAGAGGTTAAGTAACTTGCCCGAGATTGCTCAGCTAGTATGTGGTAGAGCCAGAGTGAAATTCTGGGTCTGACACACTCCCGAGCCTGTGACCCGAGCCACGGTACTGTACTGCTATTCCTCACGGGGGCACAAGTAGGAATTTCATTTCTCAATTCGTGCAAGAGTCCTGATTAATACATACCTGCTTGCGGGCATGGCTTTGTTCCTCAGTAGGGATGTTCAAGGTGCTTTTGTAAAGAGTCCTAGCAATCAGAGAATAATAGACAGAGATAATCGAGAGTGGGATAATATAGAACACCAAGAAACACAGCAGAGAATGTATCTCTTGCATGAGCTTCTCAGAAACGGGATATGAGGTACACGCTTCAAGGGTCATATTTTTGTTGGGATCTTCAACAGTATATACATTGGAAAATATAGCCTCGGGCAGAGCAATGATCATAGACACAATCCAGACGCAGCCAGCTTTAACACAGGTCTTCAGGATGGCATTGGAGGGCTGCCGCTCCAGTGGCTTCACAACTGCCTTGTACCTAGAAACATATAACCATAGGCAAAAGTCAAAATAAATACCAGAACAGTACAATCTCAAGGTTAGAAGTGACCTTAGGGGTCCTCCAGTTCTGCCTCCGATCCACATGTGTATTATCAAGTCAAAGTTAACCGACTGGAATCAGTCATGATTTCAAATACATAGTATGTCCCAATATTTGATATTTACACTAATCATCCTTTTCTCTGATTCACTGATAGGAAATAGCTCAGGTTTGCAGTTTTAGAATTTTATGTGTAGATCCTCTATTTAAGATGAATAAATTGTTTTCGGCATGATTTTTGTGTGTGATTAGGGGGAATTTATTACCTGTGTATTACCTTACGTGTTCTAAAAAACTTCGTTTTGGTATAAGTGACTGATTTTAAACCCAATTCTCCTTCCTTTGCAAGTGAGCAGTCATCAGCCTTCCTAGAAAAGATTTTCCCGAGTTTGTGCAGTGAAGAGAAGAGGGTTAATTTCTTCCCTGTTCATAAGTGCTACTTTGTTAACCAAGCTGCTCTATAGGTAGATTTAGAGCAACGGCAAAGGAGAAACCGTACACCCTATGCCCATGCAAAGGTGCCTCCTTATTCTGACAAATTCACCTTTAAATCTATAGCCTTTAAGTAAATCTGCCCTCAAATAGAATATAAAACCAGCCAAAGCAAAAATCCATAAAAGACCCCAGGGAAGATTTTCCTTTTCTCCGATTCCAGAATTTGAAGAAGCTATTGATTACTTACAGGCTTCTCACAGGCTTTTTAAAGCATCACTTTTAACATTTGGAGCCTCAAACTGCACCCCCCCC